GGTAGAACTACACCTACGCAGTCTCAACGCTCTTGAAGAAGACACCGATCAACCAATCTTCATTTCACTGATGACCAGCAAGCTTCCGCGTCACGTGCTTGCGCAACTTGAGTTGCAGAAAGGCATTGATCCGTGGTCTGTCGCCGAGTTGAGAGTCAAGTTGTGTGCGTATATAGTAGCGCAGGAGACAGCCGAGCGCCAATCCAGTCATGCCGCCAGTAGCAAACATGAACAGCCGTCTTCCGTACATAAGTCGTCCGTACTTCTTGTCGGTGAGTCGAGTCGCCAATCACAGCCAAGAAAGAAAGTCTGCGCTTTCTGCAGGGAAAGCCACTACTCTGACATGTGTTCCAAGTATAGCACTCTTGAAACAAGGAAACCACGCCTCGGCGACAAGTGTCAACGGTGCCTACGGCCAGGCCACAGTGTTTCGTCATGTAGTCTGCAGAAACCTTGCTTCTATTGTCGTAAGCCTGACCATCACTCCAGTTTGTGTCCCGTGAAATTCGGTGCACAACCAAGCTCCGCAATGTGTGCCAACGCGGCACCTTTCCAGCCACGTCCTGCCATTACCACAGTCGCAGGCGACAACCAGTCCGTCATCATGCAAACCGCAGTTGCAGATGTAGTGTCCAACTCTTCCGGTACCCCGACCACGCTGTCTGCACGTATACTGTTCGATAGTGGCTCTTGCCGGTCGTACGTCACGCAGGCGCTCCAGGCGAAAGCCAACCTCAGTGTTCTAGGTCAAGATCACATTGCCCTCTCTACTTTCGGTAGTGCATCGAGGAACACGTCTCAGTACCCACGCGTCGAAGTCAATCTCAAACTGAAGAATGACTCAATCCTTCCGTTGTCCGCCAATGTGATTCCCCAAATCACTTCACCGATATGGCGCGTCCCCTTGGACACCAACAGACACCCGAGCCTCAACACCCTTCCTCTTGCGGAGCCGCTCACGTCATCCAACGATCGCCTGTGTATCGACATCCTCATTGGTCTTGATCACTACTACAAGATCCTGGGCACTGACCGCATCTCTTTTCCCGATGGCCTACAGCTTTTGGACTCGTCACTTGGTTTCGTTTGCGCCGGCACAGTAGCAACTGAGCACGCCTGTTCGGTAATCGAGAGCAACACCACTTTAGCCGTAGCAAGTCATCGACGTGAAGATCCCTCGTTTGACCTTGAACGCTTCTGGGCTGTTGAAGATTTCGACTCTCTCAGTGCGACACGCCCCAGCAACGATCATGCGTATGACGACTTTCTCCAATCAGTCGTGTTTGAGGACGGACGGTACACCGTCGGGTGGCCTTGGCGACAACAACATCCGCCTTTGGAAAACAACTTTCCACTTGCTTTCGGACGTTTGAAGTCACTCATTAAACGTCTCCGTCACGAGCCTGATACCTTCGTCAAGTACAGCAAGGTACTTGAAGAGCAACTGTCACTTGGTATCATCGAACGCGTTGCTTGTCCCAGCCAGAGAGACAACTCGCATCCAATACACTACTTGCCACATCACTGTGTGCTCAAGCTGTCCAGCAGCACCACTAAGATCCGTGTCGTGTACGACGCATCCGCTCGTGTATCGAAGACCTCGCCCAGTCTCAATGATTGTCTGTATCCTGGGCCGTGCATGATCCCTGATCTCTGCGGCATTCTCCTGCGTTTCCGCATGCACCCTATTGCCGTCTGTAGTGACATCGAGAAGGCGTTCTTACAGATGAATTTGAACGTAGCCGATCGTGATGTCACTCGTTTCTTGTGGTTGGATGACCCCAACCAACCAGTCAACTACAGTAATCTCCAAACTCTGCGTTTCTGTAGAGTCCCTTTCGGTGTTGTTTCCAGCCCTTTCTTGCTGTCTGCAACGATCAAGTACCACCTCACGCAGACCTGTTCACCGGAGACAGACGACATTCTCCGAAACACGTACGTAGACAACATCATCCTGGGCAAGGACACCATCAACGATGCTGTCGCTCACTATCAATCAGCAAAGGCGACGTTCTCCGCAATCAGCATGAACCTTAGAGAGTGGGCATCAAACTCTTCCGAGGTTTTGGACAAGATCCCAGAACACGATCGCTCAAGAAGCACTCGCGAGAAATGCCTTGGTCTCCATTGGGACCCCAGAGAGGATGTCTTGTCCGTACAGTCGCCTAATGCAGCTAACCTTGTTGTCACTACGAAACGCCAGGTTCTACAGGCACTGTCTCGCTTCTTCGACCCGCTTGGCTTGTTCGCCCCCGTGTCCATCAGAGCGAAGGTTCTTATGCAAGATATCTGGAAGCTTGCTGTGTCCTGGGATGACCCACTGCCCTCCGACGTCCTCAGTCGCTGGCACCCAATAGCCGCCGACCTTGACGAGTCTAGCAGCTATCCGATCTCACGCTACGTCGGCGTACCCACATGTAAGAGTCCGTCGTATCAGTTGCACATCTTCTGCGATGCGTCAGCGAACGCCTATGCTGCCGTTGCGTACTTGGAAAGCACTGTCGGTGATAAGAGTCAGCGCCATATTATCTTTAGCAAGACGAAGGTGTCTCCCGTCAAGGGTCAAACGATCCCACGGTTAGAGTTGATGGCGGCAAGCCTAGGATCTCGCCTTATCGTGTATCTACGCAAGCAACTGCCTGGACATCCAGTTCCAAGCCACTCATCTGTACACCGACTCAACGACTGTACTCCATTGGCTCAAGTCCACGAAGCTACCCGTCTTTGAGCAGAACCGCGTCAACGCCATCGCAGCCGTTCCAGACGTTCTCCACCACTACGTCCCGACAAAGCTGAATCCAGCCGACCTGCCATCCCGTGGATTGAGCGCCGCAGCCTTGTTAAAATGCGACACCTGGTGGAACGGCCCCAGCCTGCCGATTGAAGGCACCACTGCAGCAACCGTCACTGTTGCGCCGGCGGAGGGTCCTCCGGAAGTCACCTCAAAGGGGTCGGGGGGTCAGCCATTTGGTCAGGGTTCACAGACAAATAAAAAATCTGATGTATTCCCATATGGCATTGTTGTGAACGACTTCTCGTCGTTCGACTCTTTAGTGCGTGTGTCTGCACTTTGCTTTTGTTTCCTCTGTAGGCTGCGGAAGAAACCAACTCCATCTGGACCTCTCACGCCTAGAGAAATCGAAGCAGCAGAGCAAGTCTGGATCAGCCACAGCCAGTCTGCACACTATGCAGATGTTATCACCGCTCTGTCCAGTGGGAAGCAACATCCGCTGGCAACTAAGCTCAACTTAGTGCTCGACAACGGAGTACTGAGATGCCGTGGAAGACTGGAGAATGCTGACCTCTGCTCCAAATCGAGGTTTCCCGTCCTGATCTCCAAGGAACACGCCATTGCCAACCTGATCATACATGATTGCCACCTCAAGGTCATGCATGGCGGCGTAGCGCACACACTATCCCGTGTCCGATATCAGTTTTGGATCCCGAAAGGCAGATCAGCTGTAAAGGCCCTCGTGCGCCGCTGTCAGACGTGCATTCGCTACGAAGGCGCGCCATACAAGACACCTCAGATGAGTCCGCTACCTTCTACCAGAGTGACCCAAGCGCGACCATTCTCTCACATCGGACTGGACTACTTTGGCCCAGTCCTCGTCCGTACACAGTCAGAAACCGCTAAGGCATGGGTCTGCCTGATCACGTGCATGGTGACCAGAGCTGTTCATTTGGAGCCAGTCCACGACATGACAGCTGCCGAGTTTCTGCTCGCATTGAGACGTTTCGTCGCCCGCCGTGGCACGCCAGAGCTAGTTGTGTCTGACAACGCTCCCCAATTTAAGCTGGCCAAGTCCGCTCTTGACATTGCCTGGAGCAACATTGTCGTAGACACCAGTGTTACATCGTACATTAGCCGTCATCAGATCCAGTGGCACTTCATCGTCGCCAACTCTCCGTGGATGGGTGGAATGTATGAAAGGCTTGTGGGTATTGTCAAACGCTCCATGCGCAAGACCATCGGGAGACGCCTCCTCACAACCAGCCAACTCGCCACTCTCCTGCCAGAAGTTGAGTCTGTCGTCAATTCTCGGCCGCTAGTCTATGTCGACGAAGAACAGTGCACAGTCCTGACGCCTGGTCATTTTATCAGCCTGTCTGCCACACAGGGGTTCTTCACGGTCAGCAACGACCCAACCGACCCGGATTACCAGCCTATCAATTCCTCTGCAGACAGCCTGTTGGACCTTTGGAAGAAGGGCCAACGACACCTTGATCAGTTCTGGCTTGCCTGGAGGAACGAGTACCTCCTCAGTCTGCGAGAAGCCCACACGTCATCATTCAAGCAGTCAAGGACTCGATGCTCAACGTTTCCGAAGCCTGCTGACGTTGTCCTCATCAAGGAGGAATTGCCTCGCGGCCACTGGCGCCTAGGACGAATCCAAGAAGTACACACCAGCAGCGATGGCAACATCCGCTCTGCCACCGTCCTCACTTCGGACAAACGCACCGTCAAGCGGCCAGTAAGTCTACTGTGTCCGCTTGAGACCAGCAGTCCCTCGGAATCCCCAGGTACCCCAGCTCAGGAGACCAGCAGTTCCTCAGAATCCTCAGCTACCCCAGCTCAGAAGACTAGCACTCCCGTTGCAGTCGTACGAAGACCGACACGAGCCGCTGCCAGCAAGTTTCAGTCCAACTTGCAGGATTTGATCGCCGATGGCCGTGTTTAACTCTCTCTCTCTCTCTCTCTCTCTCTCTCTCTCTCTCTCTCTCTCTCTCTCTCTCTCTCTCTCTCTCTCTCTCTTTCTCTCGCTCGCTCGCTCTCATTACTCTCGCATTCTATATGCTCTTCAGTTATCTTTCCACGTGTTTTGTGTGAAATTTCTCCTTGTTATTAATTATGGTTAATTCTGTTCTCCGGCCAATGCCCGGGGAGTGTCGTGAATATGCATCACGAATCCGCGTTACGCTCATTATTATGTCTTTATTTGTTTATGTGTTACATCATGTTGACGTCATGCTGATGTCTTGCTGCACGCATCGCGTGCACCGTTTTGCAGCTCTCAGCCCGGAGCATGCGCAGCGAGCCTGTGGCTCCTTTTTTTGCTGCCTTTTCCCTTTTGCATGCTTCACTTGTCTCTACTTGTCTCAACTAACTAGAACTTGTCTCAAATAAGGTTTTCTGGTGACACTCCTTTTCAAGTCACCTAATCCTTTCAAGTAACAAGTGCAATGTCGTTCCGTGAACCGGAACCACTCCATATTTGAGTTACCAAGACGTATTTGTGCGTGGCTATCCAAGCTCTCCCACTCAACAGTTCAAAGTTGCGCACACGTGTGCGTGTGCGTGTGTGTGTGTGTATGTGTGCATGTGTGCATATGCTAAACTGTATAAGTAGTTATTAAGTACCTTGTTGGAGTTTGTGAACATCTCCGGCAAGTAGAACAACTCTGGGATAAGTTCCTGTGTGCAGTGGACAAGACATAATAGTGGCATACATGTACAGACACGCGCACACATGCATTGACACACACACACACACACACACACACACACACACACACACACACACACACACACACACACACACACACACACACACACACACACACACACACACACACACACACACACACACATAATCATCATGCATGACAACACATAAAAGTGACATACAACATACATAGTCATCATACATGAGATATTGCACCTAAGCTGCACAAGGAGAGTTGAATTCATAAACATCCTATACAGTTATGCCCCTCAAAAGCCGCTTATATCCTTGCAGACTACAACGGCTTGAGATAATCAACCTAAAACGGCACATTTCCTTTTGGAGAGCCATCGACCAGCTCGACTTCCATTGCCAACAAATGCGACATCAGACAAGGAAATTCTGCCATCACACACCACAGCCTCCGCAGTAAAGAAGACATGGCATCACACCAAGCAAGCATGATGCTGCTATGACTAGAAAGCTTGGCTCAGTGTGCTGCTGGTGCACACTGTATGGCGCCACATTGTTACATGTTCTCTAGAGTGAATCTAGGGATTAGTTCTTCTCTTGCTTTGCTGCTGGACATTTCTGCAAGGGTGAGCAATTACACCTTTCTTATTGGAAGTAATAGACAAATCTGGCCCAGTGAATTCTAGGATGCCCATGATAGTAGATGATGCATACGCACGCACGCACGTGCATGCACGCACACACACACACACACACACACACACACACACACACACACACACACACGGAGCACTGCAGCAATGAAGCCCGATTTACACTTCACTCTGTCCACGGGAAACTCATCGCAATGGCTATTGCGTGACCGTCGCAGCGCCCACTATGCAACCATCACCATACGCATTGCAAAGCATTTCCCGGACGCGGCGTGAAGTACAAGTCCAGATTGACAGCTCACCTTCACGTCTGATGTATCTTGCAGACAGTTTTGCCAGGCATTAGGCAAGGAGGAAAACGTTCGTCCGGGCATGTCAAACTTGCCACTCTGAAGCTGCAAGAAGTAAGTTGCGAACGGCTCCTGAAACAAAATAGAACATATACATAAGAATGCACGTGCACATGCACATGGACGCATGAACACGCACACATACACGTGTACACACAAACATGGCAATGAGTAAAACACCTATACTATGGAAGAATGGAATAGGGTAGTACGCATTTAGGCAACCAAGATGGCAGAGGTCGTATCAGTTCACAGGGGAGACAGATGAATCCCGGGACATACCACCCTGGGGCCTAATAAATACAACTCCAGAGGAGAGGGCAACTTTGTCTAATGGTTGGTGTTTATTTAGAACAAAGAGGAAGAAATGTTTCATGCGCATGCATATGTAGTGAGGGAGCTGACGTCATGCAGCGAGGTCGCTACAATACTCCCCCACCAGAGAACAAGCGAAGCGCAGAGAACGACAGAGAAAAACAAGGAAATATGAAGAGCGCTGCACGTGGCGTACCACTGTTTTTAAAGTGGCAACAAAGGCCGAAACAGAGGAATAACATGCAGGAAGCAGAAAAGAGATGCGTGACAGAGGCGGGTTAACATGTCAGAGGTGGATTAACGTGACAGAGGTGGAGAGCATGTCAGAGGCAGAAAGAGAGAAAAGAAGAAGAAAAATCTGTATGGGAGGGCAGAGGCAAAGACACGCAGTGATCAGGCGCAGAAGTCTTGCAGGACAGCAGCCCATGTAGCTGTGTGCCTATGTATGGCGGGGCGGCGACTGGGTGGTCGGCAGCCTATCCAAGGCACAGGACAGCATGACAGTTGTACAATTGTGTAGTAGTAGCAGCAGTGCTGGCTCCACGATTGGGGAGGCTTTGCGGGTGGGAGGGGGCCAAGCTCCAGCTTGTGGCCGGCGCACACTGGACGGTGGTCGGAGGGTGGTTGCTCCACAGCAGCTCCAAGTCCAGGCGGTGAGGTGCGGATGTTGAGGCTCAAGTTTTATGTCAACAGATTGATCGACAGGCAGCCAGAATGCGGTGCACACAGGAACGGAGTGTGGTAAAAACCTGTGATGGCTGGCAGGCTGACGTGCGGAAGCAGCATGACGACGGATGGCGGCCGCAGGAGGGAGTAGTCCGCAGCAGCTCCAGGTGTACCGAGGGCGGGTGGGCGGCGAGAGGCACCACAAATTCACAAATCCGGAAAGTCAAAAACAAGAATGCTTCGCGAGCGCAGCGTCGGGGGTCACCAATTTAGGCACCCAAGATGGCAGAGGTCGTATCTGTTCACAGGGGAGACAGATGAATCCCGGGACATACCACCCTGGGACCTAATAAATACAACTACAAAAAATACTACTATAATAATATAATATAATACTACTAAAATAAATACAACTCCAGTGGAGAGGGCAACTTTGTCTAATGGTTGGTGTTTATTTAGAACAAAGAGTATGATTTATTTTCTTTCAAAAAGAGGACCAAAAGTTTACAAGTTATCCGTTTTGTTATGGTTATAAGCAGAATACTGTGGAGTCAAAAATGTGCAACAATTAGCACAAAACTGACTGATGAGATCATGACATCAAACGACCTGATGCTTAGCTGCATCACGTCTAGAATGCGCAAACCAGCAGCCTTCCAACTTGGAAGGTTCTAAGTTATGAAGTAACGTCAACATTTTTGACTCAACAGTATTCTGCTTATAACCGTTAGTGTTGGACAAAACGGATAACTTGTAAACTTTTGGTCCTCTCTTTTAATTTTAATCCTTGGCTCTCCATCCGAGTTTAATTTATTTTCTTGCGCATGCTTGTATAGAAATGACGTAATACTCCGTGAGTCAGGTCGCTACAGAACTCCCCCGCCAGTGGTGAGGTCGGGAGGAGCGAAGCACGATAAACAAGAAAAAGGAGAGAGAAGAGAAAGGAAGCGCGGCATGTACAAGGCGGAAAGAGAAAAAATATGATACAATGTGTACAAGCGAGAGCGCTGCGTGTATGAAATATGTTTGTGACGTCATGCAGCGAGGTCGCTACATGCACATGTCATTCATATACAGTCGTCCCTCTCTAATCCGGCACCTTTTGCAACGGCATTTTCTGCTGGATAAACAAGGGTGCTGGATTATCGAATCCTGCCCTCCAACCCGGCCCACATGTTATCATACATGTTTGTGTCGTACGTCATAACGTAGGGATTTTCTGTGTCAAACCAAGTACTTTGTGGAATGCATGTCTATAACATACACTTGGGAATATCTTATGCACTAGCATAGGATATTCCCAAGTGTATGTTTCATGTGTTGTGTATGTTACAATGGTCCCTGACAGTATGCAATGTACAACTGCTGGATTAGAAAATCGAATTATACACAATTTGAGTGATTTGTTGCAGAAAATCGCTGCTGGAGGCGGAATTCAAGTGCCGGATTAAAGTGTAGAAAATGAACTGAAAAAATCCGTTTTCCCAGAAAGTGTGCTGGTTTGCAAGGGTGCTGGGTAAACAAGTGCCGGACTAGAGAGGGACGACTGTAGTATATTCACTACAAAGTCATGCTAGCTGTAAACAGTGATGGCACAGTTACCAATGACCAGCACACTGAACGGACTACCAGTATTTACTTACCACGCGTATAAGCCAACTCATGGTGAACGCAGACGTAGAGTAATGTGTACCGTAATGGAATTTGGGTATGGCATCATCCTCCCACAACTCATAGCGTTCTTCAAACTTACTCAATCGCGGGACATTCAAACAACCAATGGGCTGTAGCAAAAAGAGAGAGCACACCAAATGCAAGGGAAAGAGCACAGATTTGGATTTAGCCAGAATGAAAGAGGATGGAGGTGATGGTGGTGGCGAGGTGTGTATCGACTACATGACAAGGGGAACATCAGGATTAGAATAGTAACAATGCTACTGTACATTACGTTAGATAAAGCCTGAAGAGAAGAGAGTTTGCGTGCACGTGCACACACACACACACACACACACACACACACACGCACATGTACACACACACACACACACACACACACACACATGCGCACACCCAGACCCAGACCCCAGACATGCCCATCGCGGAAGTGATGATAGCAAACAGCTATGTTAGACATAGTAACTTGTGCTGGGATTACACCATTCAACAGCTTGTGATTCATGCGCACACACACACGCACGCACGCACGCACACACACACATACATACAGTTAGCTAACCTAGGGATGGGGTTAGTACATGCAAGGTACAGGTAATGCAAGTTTGACACAGCACAGTACCATGCAGTACAAACTGGTCATAAACCAGACAAAACATAGCATGTACCTACCTGTGTCAGATCTCTGAAGTTGCCAGGGTCATTCAAGTCTAAGTGCTTGCAATGATAGTTCGACAAGACCCAGGGAAAGACTGGATACTGGTTCAGGTCGTTGTACGTACGCCCTGCACCAAACACATAAAACCAGTATTAATATTTCAATAACACAATGCATTCGTCACATAGTGTACTCGCTACTGAGCTTCATAACATGCTGTGTTGTGCTACATTTCACCATGAGTACATATGCTCCCAAGAGTGTGCAACTCTTGATACCCTTTCTATGGGGTCGGCTGACGGCGACCACTCACATCACGTGCTGTAGTGTGTTCTCGTTGTACGTTCCCAGACCGTTCAAGCGATCATTGGAGTAGTAAAAATAGCACTCCCCGACAGAAACCAACTCAGACTTTGCGAATCATCAGCATGATCATGGTAGATATCCGGACAGCACGCATGCTGGCCTTCGTTGTACATACCGGTAGTACAAGTTGTCCTTGAAACACATGATGTGGATTTTCACCGTCGGAGACCCCATACGTAGACGTGCACACTGCTGGAAGCTTATTTACTCCTGATTGCACCATACTGTTAGCGCTACCGTGAACCCCTGTACTGTACTATGTTATTAGTCCCCGTATCCACATCAGCATCATCCCAAAAAGTTCCCTAATGGGTGGGAATTTGGAAGTAACACTGAGTGTATTTGTACAGGTGTGGCAGCCAAGGACTGGTGGAAAGGGTGCAAGTAACACTTAAGAGACGCTCCATCCGAAGCCAAGTCAGTATACACTTCTCTCCTTAAAGAAAAAGAGAGAATTCCCATTCAAATGCTATAATGAACCATGGCAAAGGCATGAGCATTAAGACCTGGGGAGTTGCAACTAGTCTGTGTTGTTTCCAGGGATTGGGGAAATAGCTTTTTTGATGCAAAATCCAGTCTGAAACACTACTTCCAGGGATATTTCAGCCAATGGCAGAATTTTGCACAACGTTTGAAAGTTCAAATAAACCCCTTACCAGCAATGGTGTTGATAAACATCAGATACTCAAAGTTGGAGATTTCTCGCCGTTGCCAGCGCTGTGTCATGTTACTGCGACTAAGGAGTTGACTTGGTGACAGTAAGGAAGTGGCCCTGTAGCGTGTGTGTATGCAACACAGCGCAAGCAAGCACAAAACAAACAGAAATAAATCATCTTTGTCGTTATTTCTCGCACGCCCCTCGCACTAGAGAAGCATCCAAACTGGCAACAACCAGTAGAGGAAGTATGGGTAAAGTGCAATATCGTTTGCATACACACAAACATCAACAAGCACAACATGTATGTACAATCAAAATAAACGTGACCATGCAATTTTGACACATCATGAAAATGCACACCCTTCAATGGACACTAAAGGAAAGACATTTTTACTTCCACAGATGTTGTTCTCAATTCTGTAATCATAACACAAATCCAGTGTCCACCGACTCTATACTGCAGGGCTGTGTTAAGAAAGTTCAGGTTGTGGCATACACACTCACAGCCGCAACTCTCACATGTAAAAAAGAAAAAGAAACAATATATGCACCGGCACTGCTTACACAGTGCTTCCTCAAGCTAGCTAGGAAATCTAGATGGCACTTAGAAGCCGATCGAGTCTAGTACTGACCTGCTTGCCGGCAATCCAAACTGCGTTCCGGCACCAACACGGGGCAGAACGGAGACAAGGCGACGCACAGCAGCGGTATTGGACATGTTGAAGAACACCGATGCTGTGTGCAGAAATGAGCCAATCAAGCAATGAACCCATAAACAAATGAAGCAAAGACGCAATGAAGCATTGAAGCAGTAGCAAAGACAACACGTGTTCCATGCACAGACAAGTAAAAAACAAGTCAACTGGCGGCTCCCCAAGACAACACACAGTCACGACTACATCAACACCAGAGTGTGCACTTCCATCAGGAGATCTGGCACGGCGAAATTATTCTCGGCTGGAATTTCGCTTGTCATACTGCATCACTAAAACGATGTAGTCCAGAGATTTAGCTGGTGCAGCCACCAAAGCTTAGTTCACATTCGACGGGACGCAATGTACGAACGACAGAACCGATAGTAAGCGATTGACGACTGACGACGTCGAATGGGAACACTAGGAACGGGGGCACAACCGTACTACATCACAAATAGGAAAGTGACGAAAGAGTTAAATCTGTTCAAATTTCCATACCGCATGCGGAGATGTAAGTGAAAACTGCTGCATTTCGAGCGTGAACTGGCAATGGGGTCTTGGGGCAGGGGCGAATGCACACACGCATGGACACGCCACACCCGGGGATTTACACAAGCAAGCAAAAGCGCTTAATGGCAACAGCAAATACCCAGTTGGTAGCGTCAAGAAGGCCAGCAGCAGTGACAGGAAATCAGCACCCCCATACCTCGTGATGTAAAGAAGACCTCGACAGCAGTGCGTTGCTGCATGTAAGACCTAGAATACACAGCTGTCACACTGCTGTATTCCCACATGGCATGGAAACAGTCGAGCAATGATAGCACCTAAATAAAAGACACACGCACATGAACACACACACACACACACACACACACACACACACACACACACATGCGCGTATTTGTACTTGTTCAATGCCATAAACTTGTCACGAGGATATACCTGGGAGAGGGAAGAGGGATGCAAAAGCAATCTTGGAAAGATGAATCGATCGGCTATTGAACCGCCCAAAAGCTGCACCTCTGAAATCCCCAGACTCAGGGTGGACTTGGAAATGATCACACTTTTGGTCACTCCACACTGCAGTAATTAGGTGAGCACAACAATGACTGAAATAGCAGAGTACGTACATCTGGTGAGCATGACTTGTACTCTTCGCTTGTCTCATCCACGGCAAAGTAGAGAGCAGATGTTGTGCAGGTCAGAGTGCCAGGTGCACTGAGTCCAGGTGTTACTATCACACACTCTGTTGTCAACACCACTCGGCCTGTACAACAATGGCAATGACAACAACAACGACGACAACAACAACACACATCACTAAAAATATTTCTTAGAGAGGAAGCACGGCCTAAAAATCAAAAACTCACCACTTGCAGTTTTTGAATGGTCTTGGTCCAAGGAAGCTGCGATGCTCCCTTCGACCTACATTCCCAATTGAACTCACATACAAAATCGGATGAACTATCGCTGCTATCACTGCTCTATAATTTTAGCCGGCTTTTTAGTTGCGCTTTGGTACAATAATAGAGAGGTTCCGCATAACGTAATTACGTTAGTAAAAAACGTAGTCGATCTACGGAAAGTCTTACGTAAACTGCATGCAGATCTGTGTTCCACCATACAGAGTTTTCAAATCACGTAGCTGCCCTTGGCAAATCCGAATGCGGCACCGTACGACCGGATCGACCTGGGGAGAGTCATAAATTTGTACCCCAATCAACTTACGGAGCACCTACGTTATCAGAGCCCTATCTACGTACTCTACGTAGATAACTTTCTGTAAGTGGAATACAAACTCACGAATTAACGGGTTTTCCCTGCCCACTAACGTAAAGTTGCTCAACTTTACGTAGTGCGGAACCTCTCTATTGATCTGCTTTGCAAGTAATGAGTGACTGAGAATAATAAATGCTTGTAGTTCGGCATGAGCTACCTTTGGATTCTTCTCTTCATTTTTCCGGACAGTCATGGATTTTTCAATAAAGTATGTAATCAAGCACGCTCAGGAGGTCATGATGGTTGAATCTTGCCCGAGCCTGCAGCCCAAGGGCCGTAGGCCTGAGGGCTGCAGGCAAGGGCAAGATTCAGCCATCATGACAGACAGAGCGTGCTCGATTTGATTTCTTACAGCACGAAGCAACGTATCAGGGAAGGTCAAAGGTCGAAAGGTCGAATTATTCCCGAAATGACGTCAAACGGTCCTGAAATTCCCGAAAATACGTCAAACGGTCCTGAAACTCCCTACATGACGTCAAGCGGTCCTGATGGTCTGATTATGCCCGCGGCGGGAAGACCGCCTATTGGCCATGGCCCCGGCAACGACCACACGTCATGTAAGAAATGTTATACGCATCCCATATTTGGACCCCCGGCCCCTACCCCTGCATGCAGTAGTTCATACACACTCCATTACCCCTACCCCTGCATGCAGTAGTTCATACACACTCCATTAGGCTGTGTTTACATGAGAAATTTCAACCCGGGTCGAGTTCAGCCCGGGTTGAAAGTCTGTACGATAGACAAAAGAGGTGAGTGTTTACATGAAGACAGTTGACCCGGCTCAAATACTGATATGCCGCCAAAAGTCCACTTCTACAGTCCTGTATGGTCACGTGAATCCGTTCGCGCGAAATTTGCATCTGCAGTGCCGTTCAAACCTGGCGCGAGATACGCACAGAAGTACGTTTGTACGATTTTCTTGACCCGGGTTGATTTCAACCCTCCCCTTGGGGGGGGGGGGGGGGGGGAGGGTTGAAATCAACCCGGGGCGAAATTTCAACCCGGGTCAAGCGCAATGCGTCATGTAAACGCGCCATTCATTTTATGCACATGGCGGGTTGAAATCTGACCCGGGTCGAACTCAACCCGGGTTGAAACGCCTCATGTAAACACCGCCTTAGTGGCATTACCCCCTACCCCTGCATGCAATAGTCATACACATTTGTAGCACCGTACACACTTCATAACCTCCATATTTGACCCATTTCCCCGCTGCCCCTGCATGCAATAATGAGTACCATACACATTTGTAGCCCGTTTTCCCTCCTTCTGCCCCTGCACACAAAACCACCGTACAGTTGATCTAATTACATCCCTTTCTAGTGTACATAGTCGGGCTATACACATAAAATACGCGCCCAGCTAAATGGGCGCGCTCATGCATTGCACCGTACATTTATTGTAGTATTTCTGTAGTATTTCACATAATATAACCAAACTTTCCATAATCTAGCTAGTAGTCGAATCCTTGCCCTAATGCTAGTCAGTCGAATCCTTGCCCTAATGCTAGTCAGTCGAATCCTTGCCCTAATGCTAGTCAGTCGAATCCTTGCCCTAATGCTAGTCAGTCGAATCCTTGCCCTAATGCTAGTCAGTCGAATCCTTGCCCTAAGGCTGGTCTCTCAATAATCTGTCCTCGTCTCGTGAAATATACTATCCGACTCCCACTTGAACTAACTGGTATCTCTGGTCGTGTGTGAACCATAAAACCTTTGATAACAGAAAGGTCTTTTACTGTTACTTCGCAGTGGCATTTCTTCCGTTCAGTTTTTTGTTTTTGTTTTTTGGAGTATCGGCCTTTTCTGCCAAGATGGACAAGATCTCGCTTTCAAAGAGAACTGTTCCCGAATTGCAGCTCCTGCTGCAGGAAAGGCAGCTGGATGTCAGTGGCCGTAAGGCAGAATTGATAGGGCGACTGTTGGCTGCTGGTTAGGCAAGCACGATCCCTGCTGGTCCGGATGGATTAGTGTTTCCGGTTTCCGCTGCTGCTGATCAGCCATTATCGTCATCGTCAGGTACTGCTGGTCAGTCGTCATCCCCTGCAGGTCAGCCAAACTTGTCTGTGGTTGCCGGTGACCCATCTGTGTGTGCTGCTGCTGGTCAGTCAGATTTGGCAAATGCTGCTGGTCAGCCATTTGTATCCGATCAGCTGTGTTCGTCATCTGCTACTGGTCAGTTGTATGAGTTGTCTGCTGCTGGTCAGTCATATCTGTCGTCTGCTGCGGATCAGGCGTATTTGTCGTCCGCTGCGGGTCAGCCGTATTTGTCGTCCGCTGCTGGTCAGCCATATCTGTTAGCTGCTGCTGCTCAGCCGTATGAGTCGTCTGCTGCAGCCGAGCTGCCGCCCGCATTGCCTGCGACAAGGGACGCGCAGGACAGTTCCGCCCCTGCATGGGCGCTGTGCCTACAGGAGCAAGTGACAAGACTCCACGAGAAGACTGGCGAGTCTCCAGGGGCTGCGGCAACCCCACCACCACCACCACTCAGCAAGCCATCTCTCCAATGCCAGCAGGAGCTGCTGGTTAAGCTGCGTGAACAATTCTCGCGCATCCAGCAAGCGGGTGACGGCAACCGCCTGGTCGCGGAGGCCGTGGAGCACGGTAAGACCCTCATTGCAGAGCGCCTGCAGTATCTACGCATTGCACATGTTGAAGGTTTTGAGGTGGCCGCAGCATATGCACGTGAGCCGCTGGCGGCGACAGGCGAACAGAGGAAACGGTTGGCTGAGGCGAGGGCAACAATCCGCAGGAAAACGGGAAGCACCCGCAACAGTAATCCTGGCAATGTAGTGCAGAGCAGTGGTCCTCCATTTCCCTAACATCGGCAAGAGGGTGGCAACCCAAGACGCCAACCAGGTCCAGGGCCACTATGTTTCAACTGCAACAATCCGGGGCATATCACACGGTTCTGCCCCCAAGGTAATCCGAATACCATAACCTCGCCATCGCCGCAAGCCCAGAGGCTTACAGCCCCTCCAGCGCCAAGGATGGGTGCCCGCCCCCCGATGCAGCCTCATCATTGACTCAGCCAGCAGGCAAGTGGTGTCAATGTATTTGCTGATGATGAGAATGTATTTGCCGTTGATGAATGCTCTGTCCGTGCCACGGGTTCCTAGTGTGGGAGGGTGCGAGTCTGAGCCAGGGGAAGCAATACAGATCATACAAGGCGAGTTATGTGCTAGTGTGAATAACGAGGTGGTGTGGCATGCATTGGCGCAAGTGCCTAGGTTTTTGGCATTCTATTTATGCAGGTGCCTGGGTATCCACATTCTGGAGCATGGCTATTTGCTCCCTTGTTTTGAATTGCCACCTCATCAAGTTATGCGCAATGCCGTTTTACCAGCCATGCACGCCGAATTTGTTTCGGAGATTTTCACTTTGCCATTGCCGAGCCAGCAGCAGCCCTATGAATGGTACGTGACCGACTGCCAGCCCGACCATCAGCAGACAGCATTCTACCTGAAGAAACAGCTTACGCCGATGACGTAGACTTCATCTCCACATCAAAATCATTCCTTACCAGCGCCCTACCCGTCATCGCAGGCGTCTTCTCCGAATGGGGTCTTACCGTCAATACCAGTAAGACTGAGTGGATCCGTATTTACCTGGAACCCACTTTGGGAGATGCCACCTCCACAACATCTAGAAAGGTCGGCACAACTCGTGGTAAAGAAGCTTGGCGACAGGTGAAGACACTCGGCTCGCTATACGGCTCCGGGGAGGACGTAACGCGCCGTATTGGCTTGGCCGCAAGAGCATTTGGAGACACTCTGAAGTTATGGTTCAAACACAACCTGCTTTCTACACCCATCAAAATTCGTTTACACAACACTTTCGTTCTACCAATCTTGACCTACAACCTTGCTTGCCATGGCCTGTCCCGTGCACAAGAAAAGCGCCTAGATGTGTTTCATAGGAAACAGCTGCGGTGTACCCTTGGAATAACCTACCCAGATGTCATCTCGAATGCAGATTTATATGCTGTTACTGGCCAGTGCTCTGTATCTGAAATGGCCAAGCGGGACAGGTGGAAGCTATTAGGACATATATTACGCCAGCCAAGTGACATCCCTGCAAATGTTGCTCTCACTGCTTTCTGTACATATGCTACCAGTCAGCCCTTTCGAATAGGTGCACCCCGCTCTTGCCTCACCACAAGTCTCCAGCGAGACGTCCGCCTCACACCTATCTGCATTTTTAAGCCCAGCTGCCTTCGTGATCTCGGCACCTATGCCCGCGACAGAAAACAATGGAGTAACATCTGCTCAGCCATTTAGTCTAGTACTGCTCTTCTTAAATTTGACCTTTATTACAAGACTCTTCTTTTCTTTTTCATTTCGTTCTCCCACTCTCACACACACATGCTCACGGTTAATTCTGCCGTCGTGAGTCCCTTTCGGGACGGATACGAGAATAATAATAATAATAATTGCCGAGCCACCGTGCTCTCAGCAGAGACTTCTGTGTGTTGGTGTTGTGAGAGTGTACCACAAAGACCACATACTTCTCCCAAAATTGGATGAACTATCGCTGCTATCACTGCTCTATAATTTTAGGCGGCTTTTTAGTTGCGCTTTGGTACAATAATGATCTGCTTTGCAAGTAGTGACTGTGAGTGACTGAGAATAATAAATGCCTGTAGTTTGTATGTCATGAGCTAGCTTTGGATTCTTCTCTTCATTTTTTTCCGGACAGTCGTGGATTTTTCAATAAAGGTCTTTTACTGTCATCACTGTTATGACAATTATCACTGCTATCACTATTATCACTGCTATGACTATTTATACTGTAAACCCCGTAATTTTAGCGACACATAAACCTTAGCGAATTTAGCGAATCAGTCAAATCTAAAGTTGGGGGTCGCGAATCACTTTTTATTTATTTTATTTTATTTTAGGCCACACGTTTTTATTTCTATGTTTCTCGTCACCCGCACGCATACGATTCAGGAGTCTGGAAGAAAAAAAGAAAAAAAAACTGTGCTGCACTGACTGTGCATGTGGGGACCAGCACACTCATGCACATGTACATAATGTGGCCTGGCCTGCGCGACACATGATGCGAGGTCGGCATTTTTGTGCGCAATCTAGCTGCACATGCACAGATTGTGATAGAAGCTCCTACCACATACTAGTTGCTAACTATGGATGCTATTTTGCATGGTGTATTGGTGGATTTTAGTGTGAACAAAGGTCTAGTAAACTTTTTTTTTTGGTCATTTTTTTTTTTCCACCTCTCGATCTCGCATACGTTTTTAGATTTTCAGGTGACGAGAAACATAGAAATTAAAACGTGTGGCCTTATTTTTTAGTAAACGGTTCCATCACATACACGTGCTTAGCACTGCATACCTGTCTGTGTTACTGTGTATAAACAAGAGTAGATAAACAAGAGTGTGCAACTCCGGATCACTCCTGCACAATCTGCGGATACCCCGGCCCAGGGCGGAATTTTTTGTTGACGTCACCTTTTTTCAGATAAACGTGCATTTTGCCGCAGAGCAGGGTGAGAGCATGTGCTGGGCTCCGACCTTGTAATGTAAAGCCCGGCCAAGTGCACGAGGCAAAACTTTCCAAAAGACTCGCAGCGCGTGCGTCGTAGAAAAGATGACGTTGACAAAAAATTCTGCCGTAGGCGAACCCATCCGCGAGTTGCACACTGTTGTTTATCTACTCTTGGTATAATTAAACTCAGTAACCTTTCTTCTGAGCCCTTTTTTACTTTCTTCACTGGTACTAGTACTCCGTTTGCCCACATTACCCAAATATACTGTCTACTCCGATCACTAACATAAAAGGTTGCTAAAACGTCAACAATTCGAAATCGCTAAATATATTGGTCGCTAAAATTAGAGGGGTTACAGTATCACTATCATCACTGCTATCACTATCATCACTGCTATCACTATCATCACTGCTATCACTATCATCACTGCTATCACTATCATCACTGCTATCACTATCATCACTGCTATCACTATCATCACTGCTATCACTATCATCGCTGCTATCACTATCATCGCTGCTATCACTATCATCACTGCTATCACTATCATCACTGCTATCACTATCATCACTGCTATCACTATCATCACTGCTATCACTATCATCACTGCTATCACTATCATCACTGCTATCACTATCATCACTGCTATCACTATCATCACTGCTATCACTATCATCACTGCTATCACTATCATCACTGCTATCACTATCATCGCTGCTATCACTATCATCGCTGCTATCACTATCATCGCTGCTATCACTATCATCACTGCTATCACTATCATCCCTGCTATCACTATCATCGCTGCTATCACTATCATCGCTGCTATCACTATCATCGCTGCTATCACTATCATCGCTGCTATCACTATCATCACTGCTATCACTATCATCACTGCTATCACTATCATCACTGCTATCACTATCATCACTGCTATCACTATCATCCCTGCTATCACTATCATCACTGCTATCACTATCATCACTGCTATCACTATCATCACTGCTATCACTATCATCACTGCTATCACTATCATCACTGCTATCACTATCATCACTGCTATCACTATCATCACTGCTATCACTATCATCGCTGCTATCACTATCATCGCTGCTATCACTATCATCGCTGCTATCACTATCATCGCTGCTATCACTATCATCGCTGCTATCACTATCATCGCTGCTATCACTATCATCGCTGCTATCACTATCATCGCTGCTATCACTATCATCGCTGCTATCACTATCATCGCTGCT